TATAGCACAAGTCTATTTTCCTCAAATGGGAGAATAATTTTACTTTCTGCAGAATGAAATAATTCAATTATTTGCAAGCCATATTAAATATTTGTAAATTTATTTTTCCTAAAGTTAAACAGATTCAATTCCTTTCATTTTTCTTCATAAACTGTCTTTTGGAGCCCCTTTAAGCACAGCAATTTTTCTATAAACCATCGCACTTTTACAATGACAGATAAACTAGCTCTCAGAATGATGTGTGAGTTGAGAATCAAAATAAAGAGTAACCAGAGCCAAAAAAATGTTAATGTAGTTCCGAACTGCTCTTAAAGCAACCTCCCTAATCTCTTTAAAAGGATTTTTCTCCCCTTTAATCTGATCGTTACATGGAAACTGCTAGGAGGCCAATACCACTCTTAGGTTTTCATTCTTAATGGAACTTGGTTCACCGCACCCTTCTTTCCAAATTATAGAAGGGACAGAAAATATGGTGTCTATTCAAACTCAGAGATAGGAGGACCTTGAAGGATGGCAGATTTGCTAAACTAACAGTATTTCCCTAAGTCTTAGTGGTCATTTTACAAGTCTGGGAAGGAACCAATGTAGAGGAACGTGGAATTGTGCTATACATTTTTCTTCTCTTTTCCAACAACTCAAACGAACACTCGCTGAGAACCTGCTATGTCCTGACAGGCACTGGGCTGTATGTTCCTTTCCCCTAACCTTTGAGAGTGAAGGTGAGTCTCGCTGGGCAGGCAAACAAAACGTTTTCCTGCCGAGCACCCACTTTGCCTTCTGGTATTGCAGTCCCTCTTTTCAACTTGGGAAAGGCTCCTCTCCCACTGAGTGGGGCTTTGCCTCCCTCACATGCCCTGAAAAACTCCTTTTTCTAGAATTGCTATGGATGTCAAAAGAGGGAAGGCCTCTGTTGTTCTGAAATCGCCAAAGACCATGTAAATTTGGAGCTACCAGAGGTCGCTGCCCCACCCCCCTCCTCCAGTAAGAGCCTGCCTGGGAATGAAGTCAGTGCGGGGCAGTGGAGGGGGAACAGGGGCTAAGACTTTGGGAGGGCAAGGTGGGGACAGTGAGAAAGAGAGAGAAAGTCTAAGAACCTAGCTAGTTCCTAACATTTGTGTACGAGGCTCCAACTGTGCTTGAAGCCAAGATGGATAAGTTAATAAATTCCTTTTGCACTTAAGGTAATTTTTCAGTGGGTTTCTGTCACATGTCACCAAAAGACCCCTGAATAATGCAGGGATTTTACTTGACTGTAAGCCCAAGGGTATCAATACGGCGACACAGTCACCACAGAGTGAATACCGTCTTTATAAATACGGTAGGCTGTGGTAACAGAACTACAGATAAATCAGGCAGCACCCCCTGTCTGTGCGGCTCAGCCTGTGCATGGACACCGTGAATGAAGTCCCTGCTCTGAGGACAGCAGCCAGAGTGGTCTTTGGGTGTACAGCCCCCTCTACCTTCTGGGTGTCCAAGTCTGGTGGAATTGGTTGGGAGAAGTAAGGATGTGCTGTTTGCAGAAGAGAGGACCCACACGGGGGAGCAGCAGAGGGGCAGGATTTCTTTACGTGTCTGAAGGGCTGCCATGTGAAAGATCAGATTTTGTTTTCTAAGCCTTAAGAAAACTAGAACCAGTGGGTAGAAGCAAGGAAAAGTCGGACTTCAACTCAATGTAATGAGCTGATCAGAGACAAAACGGGTTCCCTTGGAATGCCGTGCAAGTGCTGAGACCCAGATGGGCGACCTTGGGGTGGTGAATAGAGGAATCCCCTATCACATGGGCAGCTGGGTTCAATAGGTCCCTAACTCCCTTCCAGTGCTGTGAGTCTAGGATTGTATACCTGAGAATACTGGGGCCTTTTCCAGCTCACAGGAACAAGGACATTGGAGTTGGAGCCTGAAGAAGTGGAGGACGTGCTCCGGGTGACAGCCATGGCCCTGGGCTTCCCATCACGCCCAGAAGAATTCTGCAGCTCATCATACCGCCTCCCGATGATTGGCGTCTTGAGAAGAAAGAATACAAAAGCACACATTCTTCTATCTCATTCATAGTTCTGTGGTATATGGGACCACTCTCCCCAGAGACAACCAAGAACGGCTTATTTGATTAAAAATCAGATGAGAAGAAGTTCAGTGTTACCGGTAGGCTCATTTTTCTGATGTGCAAGTAATATTCTGAATCATTTGCATCTTCAACATTTTCCCACCCTCTGTAGCAGCAGAAAACAAACCCGACTGCTTATTCTTCAATATGTTTTAGAAACCACTGATAAAGATTAGAAGCAAAATGCACAGGAAACCAAATAGTCAGTTTTCCATTGTTTAAGTTTAAAAAAATTTCTTATAGTTAGTACAAGAAACCAGAATTCCTTCCCCTCTTCCCAACCTTTAGTCATCAATCTTTATATGCTCTCAATTATTAAAAAACATGTTTTAATTATTTATATCTTTTCAATTATTCAAATGAATGAGGTCAGGGCCAGGTACTTGGGCAGCACTTAGGAAATTTCTCTTCCCGAGAGCTCTGGAGTATGGTGGCTGGTGGGCAGCACTTCGCAAATTTTAGCCCTAAGCAGGTCTCCTCTGCAGACACCAGCTCGTGGCCCTGTCCTTGGGGGGTGGCAGAACTCACTGGTAATTCTACACCTGGCTACTGAGGCCCATCTTTCTGGAGCAGTTCTGGGTTTCTGGGGTGTGCAGCTAACTGGCTACATGTTTTCTGTCCCTCTTTGGAACAGAATAAACTCAAGTCTGAGAGTAAAAAGTAACTTTTCCCCCTCCCAGTGTGAAAAAAAAAAGTTGAAAATGGACAAAGATTGAATTGATGCCTTAATATCATTTACATAGTAAAGACAGATGCAGGAATCACAGTGGCAGCAAAATATATGTCATCCTGAATACTGAAGTGATAAAAGCTCAATAAGGACTGTTGCGTCAAAAAACTCAACTTGATATAACCTACGTGATAGCACAATTAGGTTCGATATAAGCAGATCTGGTTGATTTCTTAGTGAATGCATTCATTCAGCAGTGTTTGGAAATATTTATTAGTGATGTACTATGCACTGTACCATGCCCCATGAAGATGGACAGAGCACAGCTTCTGCTTTGGCAGGGGGCGTTCATGGGTCACAGGGTATGAGACCTGAAAGCAAAGTTATTTTATACCTTAGACTTGAATATTGAATCCTGGCCTTCCAAATGTTTGTTCACAAACCAGGGTAGATGTGACGACTTTTTGCCCTTTCTTTTCTTTCCAAGTCTGTAGCTTAGGTTCCTAGTCCCTTTCTTCCCTGCCTTGACCCCCCCAAGGCAAGAATTTACTTTTACTTGTTTACAGAGCAGTGTGGCCTGGGGAGGCAGCCATAAAGGCGGATTCTGTGTTCCTGTAAATCTCAGTCATTTGCTGGGCTGGCTGTCATTCAGGGAGAAAGGCTGAGGATATAAAGACATGACGTGCCCATTGTCAGATGAAGGAAGAGTGAAGGTTGTGGTTTAAAATGCTTGTGATCATTCCATTTTTAAGCATCTTTGAAAAAAATCATTTTTTAATATAACGGAGTCTAGTTTCTTTGTATTTTTAAAAGCTGCCAATTGAGAGCCACAGTGAATATGACACTCGATGTAGTCTCAAAAAAGCAGAACATAATTTAGGGCTTAGACATCTTCATTTAATAGAAATGTGAAATAAGTCTCCCTTTCTCTAGGTAACTACTATTGATCTCTGCCACTTTAAATTTATGCTAACATTCACAGAAACAGTTAACACAGCTAAGTACCTCTGAAATATCAAAGTGAAAGTCCAGAGTTTTTCCAGGTAATTCCTTAGAAGCACTGGTCCACACTCGATGTATTTCTATCTTTGAGAGGTCACCGTGCTGGTAGGAAGGCAGAACGAGGCTGGCAGATCGAGAAACTACCAGCTTCAAGATGTTCAAAGCTTCTCTCCAGTGAATACTCTGCAGGCAATAAAACATTCAAGGGTGAAAAATAATTTCATTTTTTAAAGCTAATGTATCGCCACTGAAGCTTCTTATGACCAGTCTGAATGCGCTGACTTAAAACAGTGCAGAGGATTCTGTGATAAGAAAAAGGCAAAGGTGGCTGGGTGTGGTGGCTCACGCCTGTGATCCTAGCGCTCTGGGAGGCTGAGGCTGGATGAGTGGATGATTGGTCGAACCAGCCTGAGCAAGAGCAAGACCCCATCTCTACTAAAAACAGAAAAAATTAGCTGGGTGTGGTGGTGTGTGCCTGTAGTCCCAGCT